GCCTTGTTCTTGAGATATGCCTCATGGATTTCCTGCGCCTTCCTATCCACAAATATCCCATCCTTCTTGGTATGAGTTCTGATGAACACTTCTCCAATAGTAGGAGGTCTTCCCAATTCAACTTCATGAAATATAGTAACAGAGATGTCAGCAAGTAATAAACAAAACAAGTATTTAAAACAGACATGTAACTTACCATCTCTTGCTCCACTTGTAAAAAGGACTTTGGACCAGAAACATGCTTGTGAGGACCAAGACCATTACGGTCAGACATCCTAGCTGCTGATGTGGTTGAACTCTTGGCTTGGGCTTCTTCAGTATCCCAATACTTACACATCTCTCTCCACAGAGTTTTCTCAATCCAATACGGCCTCACTCTTGGGCTTTTTGACCCTGCCTTACTAACCATGTCTTTCATACGCAGTGCAATGATCTTGTAGAACTTGGCTTCAACCACACCTGTAACTGAGGGATGCCAGGTGTGTGTTTTCTACCAAAACAAGAGGACAGTGAAGCAGATGTTAGTTATCAAAATACAATATGAAAATACAGTAGTAGAAGAGGGATAGAAGCTTACAGCGAATTCAAGAAAGTATCTTTCTCTTCTTCCAGTTGGCACACAACTCCAATTGTAGTATGGTCCATCAAACTTGTTAGTAAAACACTTGGTGACCTTCCGGGTTAGCTTACCCTTATCCTTACCAAACCTACAATCAAATAAACAAACTTACAATCTATACACAAGAATACAAACAGACCTAAACCTCTTCACAAACTATACCTAAACAGAACCATACCTAAACCCTAAACAAGAACCAGAACCATACCTAAACCCTAAACAAGAACCAGAACCTATACACAAACAGACCTAAACCATACCTAAACCTATACACAAACCATACCTTAACACAAACAGACCTAAACCATACCTAATCCTATACACAATTCTAGACAATCCTATACACAATTCTATACAAACAATCCTATAAACATTCAGAATCCTTACCATGTCGTCCCAGGCTCTAAAGTCGGAGAGATGAGAGTAGTATAGAGCTCACGGCCTGGGATGACAAGCGTATCATGTAAAGTCGCGAGGACATCTTCTGGGAGTGTTGAATCCCTCAAACCTTCATCCTCCGATGTATTTTCATCATCAGCTTCTTCATTCAATGCAGCTTATTCTTCTTCAACGTTCTGAGCTTGAGAACTGTGACCAGACAGAGAGGCTCTTGGTGGTCGTTGTTGATTAACCACTGGAGAAGGAACCGGCGCTGGAGGCTGAACTGGAGCTGGAGACTGAGAGGCACGGGGAGATCCGGATGCTAAACGATGAACAGAGGAGACAGATGCTCGAAACGGAGTCGTTCTAGAGCCCCGAGGAGATCCACCAGCTGCATGCTGAGATCCTTCGCCCGACTGGAAAAGCTGCAGCGGAGGTGGATAGTCTCTTAGACTCAGTTGCGGTGAAGCTGACGATTCGGCGGATGCTCAGTCCCATGATTTGGATCTTCAGGGTTCGCCGGCGTGAACTCATACTGCGACGGAAGGCTCCTTGGTCTTCGACTCGATACACCGGAAGATGTGGGTCGAGTAGGGACGACAGTGGGTCGCTTCACCGGAGACTTCGGTCCCCTCTTCCCTCTTCCGCTTCCTCTTCCACCGCGAACACGAGGAGCCATCGATTAGACCTAAAAGAAGTAGATTTGTAGAGAATTGGAGAGAAATTGCAGGGTTAGGGTTAGGGTTCGTCGAGATAGAGAGAATTAGGGATCTAGGGTTAGAGAAATGCGGAAATAGGGTTTCCTCGGTTAGAAATAGGGAATTTATACTATGGGCCAACGCAGTAAATCTAATGGACCGAGACCAATTAAAAGGCCCAATTAGAAATTATAGTCGCTATAAAGTGGCTAATTAGTAGCCCAGTTTATAGACTAAATATTTAGAAGCTACTTAGTCGCCTAATTTGGCGACTATACAACGACTATTGTTATCCGTCGCCAAATGCAGACGGATTAGCGACTAATGTTGTTTAGGCAACATTCAGTCGCCTAAATGTAGCAATTCAGTCCTCAAATTCAGCGACTAATTTATCAGTCGCTGAATAACGTCGCTAATGACGTGTTTTCTTGTAGTGACTTGTCCTCTTTCATTTTAATTTTGTCTTTTTTAATTTAGTTCTAAAAATAGATATTTTTTTATCATATTGGTACATTCGACATATATTTTTAAAATTATTAAGTTTTTAAAATTATTAAGTTTTCAAAATCACGTAACGTTATTATTAAACTATTTTATAATTTCTTCTTAATAGTTGAACATTTTTATCCTAATGATGTATTATTTATCAATACTAGGTTATTTAGCCGCGATACTCGCGGCTTCTTGCATACTATGTCATATGTTTGCTATTTATTTTACTTAGTTTTTTTGTTTGAATTTAAAATTTAAAGAAAAATAAATAAATGAATGACAGTAAATTCAAATTTGATTTTTTTCTGTAAAATTTGAATTGTACTCATCTATATACAATGATATTTATGTTTTTTAAAAAATAATGAAGAGTATATTACTGTTTTTAATCAATACAATATTTGATGCCAATTAGACATTTTAAGAGTGTTGATGATAAAATTAATGATTATAGTAATATAATACGTATACATAAATAATACTTATTTTGTTAAAATGTGAAAATATTAAACCCTACTATGAAAATTAAGTTACATCGTTTTCAATTTATAATTTATATTTTAATAGTAAAGTTAATATTCTAAATTTATCCAATTTTAAAAGTTATTGTTGCATTTTAAAGAATTTAAATATAATGGTAATACAACAAATTTTCTATTATTTTCTACTTAATAGAAATATCATAACCAAATGTTATACATATTGGGTTTGAGCTGAGTTTTGAATTGAGTATACCATTATATTTTGATACAACTTAATTCGAAGTTGTTTATCTACTTAATGAAAATATTTTAAATCACATAAATGACGTAACAAATGTTGAAACACCATTTTATTAGTTTATTCTCCGTTAATAAAATAACCATTTTATGCTACTTGTAAAAGCATAATTTATTTGAGAAATGTATAACAAATAATTTATTCCGTAATATTTTTTACACTTTAAGAAATAGATGTAGGAATGAAGATGAATTATATTGTAAGAGATAAGTGAAGAGAGATGAATTATTCAATTATACAATTCAAGCGTATGTTTCCACTACCACTTAACATTTATGTTGTAGCATACTCAGTTGTATTTTTTCCTTCTACTCATCATTAGTCTTTTTGATTTTCTTCTTAAGCTCACTTCAAAAATATCAAATTTATTTTGAGTCAATCAAAATTCAGGTCTATATAGATTGATTGTTTTGGACAAAGAAAACCAACCTTAGTATATCTTCTCTTGTTGCATTACAAACTTCGGGTTTCTCTACTCGCTCCTTTTAAAAGACCTCTAAAATAGCACATACGATTGATTGTGAGTAATGTTTATTAGTTACATGTCATCTCCTCTTCACAGCCTCTTACAAAATTGACAAAAATGTAATATTGAAACACCATTAGTCGGATTATAAAAGAAAATGTTATAAAATTTATCAATATTATGAAATTTGGAATATGATGGTTAGTGATATGTGTATATTACTATTTATAGAAGACAAAATATTTATGTTTTACACTATTCAACTTTAACAATTATGTTTAAATATCATTTATGAGTAAGTTAATATCATTTTGTATTAATTGTATTTAAAGTATTGTTGTAATTTAGTGTGAGCATTAACAACATAACGATTATTATTAGTATGGAGGTTACAAAATATGAGAAAATACATAAATATAATTATTATATATTATTATAGAAAAATCTTAAATTGTTACATGCTAATGATGTGGATGACATTTGTTTCAATATAAATATGATTGAAATCATATATATGAAAGTTGGCCAACTCTCTCCATATGAGTGCCACATCATCACACAAAAAAATGACATGTGTCATTTTGTATTATTTAAATAAAAAATTAGCCAAATGAAATGAGAAAAAATTAAAAGTTCTTTATTGCATTAAATCCTCTATCAATTATACTTTTAAGTTAATTATTCAAAATTGAAAAAAAATATATACAAAATTATTTTAATAAAAAACACTACTTTCAATATACTCATCTTATTTTTATAAATTTTTTTGTCAATGGTTACCACTAGATAATGACTGAAACTTTATTTTTTTTGTAATTTATCACACAAGAAAATGACATGTGTCATTTTGTATTATTTTAAAAAAAATTAGCCAAATTAAATGAGAAAAAATTAAAAGTTCTTTATTGCATTAAATCCTCCATCAATTATACTTTTAAGTTAATTATTCAAAATTGAAAAAAAAAATACAAAATTATGTTAATAAAAAACACTACTTTCAATATACTCTTCTTTTTTTAATAAATTTTTTTTATCAATGGTTACCACTAGATTATGACTGAAACTTTATTTTTTTTGTAATTTGGTTGTTTGCTATCACATGGAGAGAGTTGACAAACTTTCATACATATGGAGAGAGTTGACCAATTTTTATATATATGATTACGTTTTGTTGTTCATATATGACTTATGATATGACTTTCTCTCTTTTTATTTTTATGTCTTATGATAAGTTGGTAACATTGACATGCAAGTTTTTTCAAGCGATGGACCTTTGAAACGTTATACATACCAAATAATTCAAGACACGACTATTTCTCTTATATGTTTGTATGCAATGATAGAAGATCTAAAAGTGTTGACCTAAATGACACTTTAGTTTTGCTTTATTTTTCTATTTTCATATGAAAACTTTTGAGATCTTGTTCAATTTATGTTTATCCAATCTACTATACATTTTTGCAGCAGTTTTTGGGGTACCCAAATCGGGTCAAAATTTTGACCCGGAATTAATTTATTTCGACCCGGATTGGAATTAATTATTTGGATCCGAATAATTAGAGACTTTCCTAAAAAAAATCTGTGATAAAACCGCAAATCTTGAGTTCGAATATTCCTAAATTTTCGTCAATCGTCGTTAATGTATCTTTTGAGAAGATTTCCCTACAAAAAAGGAAACTACATTAACAATTGCGTTTTGATTTTGTTTTGATTTGTAAACTAACAACAAGCATATTCTCAAGATATTCAAATATCAGAATATTGCCTAAACTAAAACATATAGAACATTCTAACGTAATTGTGTTAACAAGAATATTATTTTTGTTTCATAATGATTTCGCAATCTTCCCTTAAACATTTGTGCATCATTCTAATTTTGATTAATTATACGATTAAAATTTTGATTAATGATACGTAATTGTGTTAACAAAATTTTGAACTTGATCACCAAGATTTTCTCGCTTTACAATCACACCTAACCCTAAACATCTACAACCTCTATATATAACATAACATGCCAACACATGCAAGAAAAACACCAGGGCATCAAGAAACATTTTACCTTTTACATCCATGAAGAAAGCTTTTCAATATCTCCATGGTTGTTTCTTTTGACTATCTTAGAAGCGGCTTTACAATATTGCATGACAAGTCCAAATTAAGATTCTGCATCATAACGGCAATACACAACCAAAACTGGTGAGATTCTGAACTCAAACATCACAATCAGTTTCCAAATTCATTCTTTTTGTTTTTTTGTTTCATGCAGATTTGTGGATGACAAGAAAGGATTTGCGCTTGACAACCTACAAACTTTAAAAAGATTCGGCTTTTGTTCAGCCTTTCGACAAACGCAAATAGTTCATTCAGGTCTAGCAAACCCAATTTTGTTAAAGTTTATGCATTTAGGGATTCAATTGGTTACCATAAAGATCAAATCATTGGTGTGTGTGTGTGTACATCCTTTCAAAACGCTTACTTAAGACATATAGATTTGTATTCATGGAGGACAGAACTGAAATCAAATGTTACCTTCTTTTGAACAGTGGAACCTAAAGGGTTTGAGTTCTTTGTTAACACTATCAATCTTCTTACGAACCACATAAACTTCCTTCCTCATAGGATCATACACTAAAGCTCCTGTCATAAGAAACAACATGTCTGTAAAGATAAGATGTATTGGTAATCCAGCTTAACTCAGTTATTGAGAATGAGAGAAGATATAATTATAAGAAAACATGTTATCCATGGAAATTGCTATCACAAAAGTTGTGTAAAAATCCGAATGACCATTACTATTAATCAATTCCAAAATCAATTCGTTTTTGTAAACAAACTAAAATTACAGCCATCAATTCATGGTTCAGAAGCTACTCAATCGATAAAAAAATTGCAAGCGAAGAGTGAATACAAATGGTTTGACCCAAAATTAGATTCAAATCCGAGCAACTGGCCAAGCTATGAACATGTATAACCGATTACAATCGGATCATGTAGTTCAAACAGAAAAAAAAATCGCGTTTTGGTGGTATAATCGGTGAGAGCTTGAAGATAAACAAGTTCGTCATTCATCGGGTTACGAATTCTTTTTTTTTTCCTTTTTTTTTTTTTTGTGCCGAGAAATGTTTTATTGTGGCAGATCTATAATTTGGTTTCATCATTTTTTTTTGGCCTCGGCTTTCGGTTATCGGTTGGGTCCATTCGGTTTCGGTTCTTTCGGTTTCAAAATTTTATATCTATTCGGATATTTTAAAATTTCGGTTCGGTTTCGGTTCGGTTCCGATTCTTTCGGTTTTAAAATTTAGTATCCATTTTGTTATTTTGTTTAAAATATTTTCGGATATTTCAGTTATTTTTGAGTATTTTCGGATATTTTTGGATATATTTCGGTTATTTTCGAGTATTTTTACTATTTATATATATTTTTCAAGTATTTTTGATTATTTGGTCTATAAATAACTAATTATTTTGAAAATATAATTATTGTATTTCGGGTATTTCGGTTACCTGAAATATTTCGGTTCGGTACCGATTCGGTTACGGTTATTTTGGTTATAGAATTGCGTATCCATTCGGTTATTTTCAAATTCTCGGTTCAGTTTGGTTCGGTTTTTTTTACTTTGGTTTCGGTTCGGTACATTCAGTTCGGTTTATTTGGCTAGGCCTAATTTTTTTTTTCCAAAACAAATACTTCTTTTGGGCTTATAATGTTTGGGCTTCAATTTTACTTATTGGGCTTCGTAGATTAATTTTCTGTTAACTAGATTACAATTTCATAATAAAAAATTATTACCATATAAAACTTATTATACTGTTAGCTTACAAGAAAATAATTATTATGTAAACCATATAAATAAAAGACAAAAATAATATTAGACTTAATACTATCGTAAACTTAAAGTGATTTTTAAACGATACTCAACCTCTCTAAAGAATTATCTATCACCACAAACAACAACCAAAACTATACACAACCAATTGTTCATTTATTAAAAATCATAAATAACAAAGTATTTATAATATTTAAGTTATAGAAATTTTTTTAATATTAATAATATTTAAACTATATAAAAATTAAAAATATAAATATTATGGAAACTATTTAAAAACAAACTTTTAAATTGACTCGAATTATACGTCTTTAAAATAAAATATTATTGAAATAAAAATAACAAAATGATGTATAATTTCACGGGACGGGGTTATATGGTGGGATAGATTTGGGTCGATATTAATACGGGACGTTATACCACTGGTGAAATCCTAGAATTAACTATCAAAATATAATTATACAATCTTAAATACTAAACAAAACAAACAAAATTAACTATGAGGTATATTGTGGGGTAAAATATAGCTTTATTACAAGCCAAATACAAACATTCATAAGATTATAATCAAAAAGTTTCTTAGTCAAATATGTAAATTTTGTTTAATCAAGTTATAAGAAAACACAAAAAAAAATTTATTTATCCCGCGGTGTACCGCGGTTCATATCCTAGTATTTAATAATAAGTCTATCACGATGTGGTTGGAGTACTAGATCAGGAGAGTTAACAGAACAAGAAATTATATTTATAATCAAGTTAAGTGAGTTTCAAACCACACAAATGACATAATTACATATGATTGTATAAAAATATCCTATATTGATGTTGTATGTATTCATGATTGTGAAAAAATATTATTATCTTAAATATATAAATAGTCAGATTTATACATTAAAATGTATAAATTAATATTTTAAGTCAAAAATGAATCTAATCATAAAAATTGTAACTACATAATATGAATTTAATTTTATTAATTACACAATGACAAATTAAAAAATAAACATAAATTAGCAACAAGAACAATCAACATAATTTTTCTTAAAAAATTTCAAAACAAACCCACGCATAGCGTGAGTATTCATCTAGTTTTTTTTAAAGGCTCTTTAGATTTGATATCTTGCAGGGGATGTACCTTTAGTCAAGTGGTTAAGTCCATTTGACTCCGCCTTCCCCATCGGAGTTCGACTCCAGTAAGTCGCGTTATCTCGCGTAGTAGGGATTGGCTATGGATCGGGTCTTGTCAATCCAAAGATGTCAAAAAAAAAAGATTTGATATCTTGCATTTGCTCATATTTTAGTATTGTTTTTTACTTTACTATTATTTATGTATGTAAACATCAATAAACATATGTTATCTATTACTTTTACAAAATAAATTGTTGATATAAACTCACAGATAATTTGTTTGTTTGTTGATATAAACTCTCACATAATAGTTAAAATTCATATTATTTTACAAATAGCAAACTAAATTTATTTATCTTATAAAAACCATATGAACTTCAATCTAATTAAAATCATCAAAGATCCAAGGATAACTTCTATCTTATTTTTTTTTAATTTCACTCATCAATTTAAATTCTAGTGCTAGATTTTATACTAATGGTTTATCTTTATAGGATTTAATAAAATGATCATGAAGCAAAATGCAGTTTCCTCTCAACAGAGGCGATTTTTTGGGTGATTGGAGAACTCCCCATCGTCATCTTCTTCCTTCTCCCCGGAGATTCTTTCCGACCGATTTCAATATTGATTCTAATGACTTTAACGGCGGTTTCGTTCTGTCATCTTCTCTCTCTGACAGTTTTTCAGTTATCCCAAATTTGTCGGGTAACTGCTCTTGGAAACCGCCGTGGAAAACATCCTATAAAGATGTCGGTCTCATTCAATCTCTCTCTCTTTCACTTTCAGATTTCTGTTCTACCACCAAAGCAAATCGAGTATCATGAGTGATTTCATACGCAAATCGATTCAAGACTTGGATTTGGGAATTGATGACTATCCGGTAACTTTACCGCCAGAATTCACGGCCAGGGCTGCCGCTGTGAATCAATTCTCTTTGGTCGTCACGCCGGTTAATCCTCGGAAACAGAATTTACGGGCTATGATCAATCAGTTGCCAAAGGTGTGGGGTTTCGCTAATTCTTGTGTTGGTTGGATCCTGGGTAATGGAAGGGTTCAATTCGTCTTCCGTGATGAAGATTCGATGAATCTGGTACTCCGACGTGGTCCTTGGTCGTTCAATGAATGGATGGTGACTGTTCACCGCTGGTATCCAAATATCACAGAGGAAGACATGAAAATCATTCCGTTTTGGGTCCAAATCAAAGGTATTCCTCTGTTGTATCTCACTAGCGCCATGGCAGCGTATGTTGGAAATAGGTTGGGACATGTTACAGAGGTTGACTTCAATGATAACGCCAATAGGGTGGAGTTTGTGCGTGTTCAAATTGATTGGAATGTAGACATGCCTCTTAGGTTTCAAAGAAAATTTCAATTCATTGTGGGGGAGAACTCTGTGATTAAGTATCGTTTTGAAAGGCTCAGAAATTTCTGTACTAAGTGTGGGTCGCTCAAACATGATGCCAAAGAATGTGAACTGTCCTTTGACAATAATGGTGAACCGCCTGAGGAAGGTAATGATGATGATTTGGATGACGGAGCAAATGGCGATAGGAATGACAATGTGAATGAAGGAACATCTGATGCTAACACTCTCCAAACCATCGATCCTTTTGGTCCTATCCCAGGCCTGCAACTTAACCAGAATCACAATCTTACACCGGAAAGAACATCTGCTTCTTCACTTCCAAGTGCTTTTGAGGATGTGGAACTTACTGCAGAAAGAATCAGATATCTTCATGCCAGGTTTGTGCGTAATACCATCCAGAAAAAGGAATCTCCTCGACTTTTGGTAGAGATGGCGGATAGCTTAGAGAGCCCTGGTCAGAACAAGAGAAAGAGGGTTACCTTTGAGAATCTCTTACAACAATGTGAAGCTGCTGAGGATAAGGCGGTCCTGTGCCACATCCGCAAGCGTGAACGTGTTGAATCTCAATCAAGTTAGTTATGTAGAAATCAAAAGCTTAAAGAACTGCACTTCTTTATTAGATTTAGAAAACTCTCACAAAAACTAAATCTCTCTATTGAAGTCTTGTAGAACAACTCTCTACATAGAACTCCTTATATAGACATAAGCAACATCCTAAACCTATTAAGATTACAAAACCAATTTCCATATTTTGTAAACCTTGTTTTCCTTTTTTCTAGTTCTCTAGAAACTTCCACTTTCTAAAGAAACTTGTTCCCCAAGTTCTGGAATTATCCAACATTCACCCCCGTAATTCCAACACGACTTGCAGGGTCTTCGATTGCTTGTACTCCGATCAAGTTCCTCATTTCCTTGAATTTGATTCGGGCTAGTGGCTTCGTAAGTATGTCCGCTTTCTGTAGTGTACCAGGAACATGCTCCACCTCTATTTGATCATTCTCCACACACTCTCTAATGAAGTGATATTTCTTGAGAATGTGTTTGCTCCTTCCATGAAAGACCGGGTTCTTGGTGAGAGCAATGGCTGACTTATTGTCAATCCTCAGTGTGACCTTCTCGTTTTTGCTAAGTATTTCTTCCATTAACTCCTTAAGCCATATAGCTTGCTTTGCGGCTTCCGTAGCTGCCATGAACTCAGCTTCGCAAGACGATAACGCGACGTTGGGCTGTTTCTGCGATGTCCACGTGATTGGTGATGAACCGAAGTAGAAGATGTGACCCGACGTGCTTCTTCCATCATCGATATCAATGTTATGACTACTATCACTGTATCCAATCACCTTGCTTGATTCATCTCTCCTGAAAAACAAACCCAAATTGGTAGTTCCCTTTACATATCTTAGTACCTGTTTAAGAGCTTGGCCGTGACTCTCTCTCGGACTTTGCATGTATCGACTTAGAACTCCAACAGCATATGCCAAGTCTGGTTTCGTGTGAAGCAGGTACCTCAAGCATCCAATGTTTCTCCTGTATGCCGTGGCATCAATCTCTGGCTCACTTTCTGCCTTTGAGAGCTTTTTGTTTGCATTCATTGGAACTTGTGTGGAATTACATGTGTCCATCTTTGTATCCAAGAGAATTCCTTTTGCATAACCCTCTTGCTTTATGCGAATCCCATCAGCTCCTTGTAAGACTTCAATTCCAAGATAGTATGTCAATTTGCCTAGATCAGACATCTCAAATTCTCTTGACATATCTTTCTTGAATTGATTGATGACTTTTAATGATGTTCTTGTCACGAACAAGTCATCTACGTATATTGCCACTATCAAGTAGTCTCCCTTCTCCCCTTTGAGATACACGGACAACTCTTTCACACATCTCTTGAGGCCCATCTCTTTAAACACACGATTAAGCTTCACATTCCATGCCCTAGGAGCTTGGCGTAGTCCGTATAGTGCTTTGTGAAGTCGGTAGACTCTGTTTTCTTCTCCTTTCTTTTCAAAGCCCTCAGGTTGGCTTACATAGACGGTTTCATTAAGGTCTCCGTTTAAGAAGGCCGTCTTGACGTCTAAGTGATGTATCTCCCAACCTTTTGCTGCTGCAAGTGCTATGAGAGAGCGGATGGTTTCGATCCGAGCAACAGGGGCAAACGCTTCTTCAAAATGAATGCCTTGTTGTTGTACATAGCCTTTTGCTACTAGCCTCGCTTTGTACTTGTTCACCGAACCATCTGCTTTTCTTTTGATCTTAAAGATCCATTTTAAACCTATTGGTTTTACCCTAATTGGTTTGTCAACAAGCTCCCAAGTCATGTTTTTCACGATTGAATCTATTTCAGCCATCATAGCTTCAATCCATTCTCGAAGATCCTTAGCTTCCCAATAGCTTTCTGGCTCGCCATCAATGGTGAACAGCAGCTTCTCACTTTCTATGTCAGCAAGAAGAATGTAATCATCAAGATATCTTGGTCTGTTGATTGCACGCCCGTACCTTGTTACGTATTGCTGGTTTTGGGCTTCTTCTTGATGTTCGTCATTATCGTTCTCAGCCTCTGCTTCTTCGTCTTGATTTTCAGGTTGCGGATCTTCTTGATAATCATCATTGTTCACTTGATTATCGTTATTAATATTGCCATCTTCAATAACTCCATTAAGTGTGAGCTTAAACATTCCAGGTTCTCCGCTCTCTTGTTGTGACAATGATGACCAGTCCCAAGCTTTCTTCTCTTCAAATATTGCATCTCTGCTTACAAACACCTTCCTCGTGGTTGGGTCGTAGAGACGATAGGCTTTGGAGCCTTGTTCAGTTCCAAGATTGATCACATATCGCGACCTATTGTCTAGCTTCTTTAGATAAGGTCCGGTGATCTTTATATATGCGACACATCCAAAGACTCTTAAATGTTCAATATTCGGTTTCTTGGACATGAGGCACTCATATGGTGTTTGATCTTTCAAAGCTTTTGTAGGGACTCGGTTGATGAGATATGTGGAGTGACGTACGGCTTCTCCCCACATATCATTCGGAATTTTCATTGCCTTAAGCAAACTTCTTGTCATCTCCATCAGAGTGCGATTTCTCCTTTCTACTACACCATTCTGTTGAGGCGTGTATGGTGCAGTTAAGTGACGATTAACTCCGTTTTCTTCACAAAACGAGTTGAATTCATTCGAGGTAAACTCTCCTCCTCTATCGGTGCAAAAAGTTTTAATCGATTTCCCCAATTGCTTCTCCACGAAATCTTTAAATCTTTTGAACCGATCGAACGTCTCACTCTTCTCCTTTAACAACATTGTCCACATGTATCTTGAGAAATCATCAATTAATACGAAAACGTACCGATTGTTTGCTAGTGTTGGCGGTGAGATAGGTCCGCATAAGTCTCCGTGAATCAACTCCAAGGCTTGAGTTGCCCGGTATGACGCTTTGATTGGGAAAGGTTTTCTTGTTTGTTTCCCAACTAAGCATGCGTTGCAGATGCTTTCCTCTAATTGAATCTGTGGCAACCCAATGACCATCTCCTTTTTCACCATGTTATTCAGGACACCAACACTTATATGACCAAGTCGTGAATGCCAAGTCATTGCTTCATCATCGCTTTGTATTTGTAGACACTTTGGAAAGCTTATTTCCATTGGTGTCTTGTAGAGACGGTTTGGCGATCGTATGACCTGTACTAGTAACCTTCCTTGTGCATCACTCAACGTGAGAGCTTCACCTTTCATGTTGACTTCGCACCCGTGTTCTGTCGCTTGTCCCAGGCTTATGATATTGTGCTTAAGCTCAGGTATATAGTAGATGTCTTTGAGTGCCCTCTTATCACCATTCTTGCTTACAAACACTATAGTACCTTTTCCCACAATATCAACATACGACCCATCACCAAACTTCACTTTTCCTTTTATGTTTTCATCTAGGCTTGAGAAGAATTCCTTGTTCCCTGTCATGTGATTACTTGCTCCATTGTCAAGATACCAAATACTCTTGTTATTGGTATCATATACCTTCGGGAATACCTTTTCTTCATTTAGGAACACCACCTCGTGTATGTAAAGCGCGTCAGCTTCTTGTGTTTCATTCAGATTCGTTTCTTGTTGTTCTACAGGTCTCTCAGGGCATTTAGCTACAAAGTGACCAGGCTTGTCACATCTCCAACAGATTATTTTGGATCGATCTCTCTGTTGGTGTTGTTGCTCTGCGTTTTCTCCTCCTTTGTTTTGGCCGTTGGACCTCCCTCGTCCTGTGCCTCTTCCGGAGCTAGTGTTGCCCTGATTTCCTCTTCCATACCCTGCACGGTTGGATCCTCCTCTACCTCTGGCTCCTCCATGCGAGTTTCCATAGCCACCACGGGTATTATTGGAGTTGGAAAACATAAGTTTTCCCTGATCTTCTCTTTGGGTGTTCTTCTTTACTCGATCTTCATAGGCTTTGATTCTTCCTACTATGTCTTCAAAGCCAGTAGTCTTTAAATCGAGTACTTGTTCGAGAGACGCTACGATGTGAATGAATTTCTCTGGAAGTGCTGACAAAAACTTCTTCACAAGTTTTGTTTCATCAAGGATCTCCCCTAGGGAAGCCGATTGAGCTGCTAGTCCTGACATCTTCCCTGCAAATTCACCCACTGTCTCTGAATCTCCCATCGTCAACCGATCTAGTTCAGCTTTTAGGGTTTGGAGTCTCGCTTCCTTCACTCGGTCCGCTCCCTGGTGACGGGATTTTATCGAATTCCATATGCTTTTAGCTAGATCTTGCTCTCCTATTTGTAAGATAAGTGCCTCGGGGATAGATTGGAATATTAGTGCCGTCGCCACATTGTTTTTCTTTTGATCCCCGTTTCCTGGATCAATTGTATCCCATACTTCACTTACACGAAGCATTACCTTCATCCTCATCGCCCAGACCGTGTAGTTCGTCGGTGTTAACATTGGACATTTTATCGACGGAGCTCCAAGGTCCTTCGTTCGTGGTGGAGGATTCTGCACATCCGCCATGGTTGATCACAGGTCTTGATCCTTCAAAGCTTCAACACAAGCTTTGATACCAATTCAAGTTAGTTATGTAGAAATCAAAAGCTTAAAGAACTGCACTTCTTTATTAGATTTAGAAAACTCTCACAAAAACTAAATCTCTCTATTGAAGTCTTGTAGAACAACTCTCTACATAGAACTCCTTATATAGGCATAAGCAACATCCTAAACCTATTAGGATTACAAAACCAATTTCCATATTTTGTAAACCTTGTTTTCCTTTTTTCTAGTTCTCTAGAAACTTCCACTTTCTAAAGAAACTTGTTCCCCAAGTTCTGGAATTATCCAACACTCAAGGCTCATGTTCGATAACGAATGAAATAGACAGAGGCGCGGGGGGCCCGGTACCCCCAGAAGTTGTCCCATGACGATCATCTCCTGGAATTGCCGCGGACTTAAAGGGTCGCTGACCCAAGCTTGTTTATCTTGTATTTGTCGTATTTATAAACCTACTATTTTATTTTTAGTTGAAACTCTGAATCAGGATGATGTTGTTGCCGATTTGGTTTCTTTTCTAGGATTTGCTAATGTCATTACCCAACCTCCTCAAGGGCGGAGTGGTGGCTTAGCTTTATTATGGAAAAATAATGTGGCAGTCTCTTGTTTGTCGCAAGATGATCGCCTAATTGATGTACATATTAATTAT